AACAAAAAAAAAAAAACAGCACTTGGAGCTGGGTGGTGGTAGTGGTGGCGGCAGCGGCGGCGGCGGCGGTGGCGCACGCCTTTAATCCCAGCACTCAAGAGGCAGAACCAGGTGGATCTCTGTGAATTTAGGCCAGCCTGGTCTACAGAGTGAGATCCAGGACAGGCACCAAAACTACACTGAAAAACTTGTCTCAAAAAACCAAAAAATAAATTTTTTTTAAAAATAGCTAATTAATGGCTTGATCTGTTTGGGAGGCATCTAAGCAGTGGTACCAGGTCCTGTGCTCATTGCATGAGTTGGCTGTTTGAAACCTGGGACTTATGCAGGGACGCTTGGCTCAATCTGGGAAGAGGGGACTGGACCTGCGTGGACTGAGTCTATCAGGTCGATCCCAGTCCTCCTTTGCCCTGGAGGTGGGGGTAGGCTGGGGGGAAGGGGAGGGGGCAGGAAGGGGGAGAACAAGGGAATCCATGGCTATTATGTAGAACTGAATGGTATTGTAAAATAAAATAAAAGGAAAAAAATGTTCATTAAATATAAAAAAATAGCTAATTAAAAAAAACTGTCTAAAATATAGAGGACTGGGGTTATAGCTCAGTGGTGAGGCGTGGGTTTAATCACCAGCACAGGATGGGGTGAGGGGGGTACACAACAGTACTTACGAGTATAAAGCTTCATTTTAGGGGGAAAGGTTAAAAAAGGAAACACTACAGAGTATCAGCTCTCGTGACATGAAAAAATAATGAAGGCAGCAGAAAAAAGGACAGCAAAGGCTCACTGCACTCCAGCACACTCCCCACTGCGATGCCTGGTCAAGGCATGAACCACATCATACAGGATGTCCAAATGGCCTCTTTCCTGTCGGCCTCGAGGACAGGCATCTCAGAGCTGTTTCTTACATCAAGCCTCTCTAGGAGCCCTCACGCCACATCTGGCTTGGTGTGGTTATTTCCACAGGAAGCAGGACAGAGAGCCAGACACACAGCCCTGCACTGGAATGACACGCCAGTCACCAGATGCCTGTCCAGCAGTGTGTCTACCAAGCCCACTGCTCATACCACCAGTGAAAAGCCTCGAGTGTTCCTGATGTGTCTGATGGGGCTGTGGAACGCATCTATGGCTTGTCTGGCCTCACTTTATAGAAGAAAAAGTATGCTTCACTGTTGGCAAAAAGCCATAAGGCCAGGAGCAGCCCTTAGCAAGTACAAGTGAAGAGCAGATGTAGACAGGACACAGTGTGTGTGGAAAAGGTACTCAGAACTACTGCAGGTGTGGAAAGAACAGATTCTAGGCCCCAAGTCCCACAGTGTTCCCAATGTACTGCTTTGCGCTAGGAGACTTCAGAGTCCATGAGAGTTGGAATGCCAAATCCACAGTGCCATAAAAATCAGGATACAGACAGACATAGTGATACACACTCTCAATTCCATCACTTGGGATGCAGAGGCAGGTGGATGTCTGTGAGTCAAGGCCAGACTGGTCAACATACATAGCAAATTCTAGGTTGCCTAGGCTACACAGTGACTGTCTCAAAAACTAAACTAATTAAATTAGGACAGCAAGTGTCACTTCTTGTCCCCTTAAAGAAGTAGCAAAGTGGTACTCAGGCAGCCAAGTCTACAGGAACATGGAAACTACTGAGGCATCAAAGATTACCCCTGTCTTTTCAAGACACAGGAGCACTAACAAAAACACAAAACAAAAAAATCCAAAAGCCAGGAGGTTAGCAACAGGATTCATTTTATTAACTAAAGCACATGGGAAAGTTCAGCTTGCTTCTTCCCCAAAACACATCTGACCTGGAGTACAAAAAGAGGAGATGAGGACTGAGGAGATGTCTCAGGTGGTAAAGTGCTTGTTGTACATACATGAGGACCTGGGTTTAGATCCTCAGCACCCACAGAAAGGCCCCTAGGGCTGGTGAGGCAGGGGCAGATCTCCAGAGCTTACCTGGCCAGTCAGTCTAACCAAAGTAATAAGCTCCAGGTTCAGTGAGAAACACTGGCTCAGAAACAAGACAGACCAAGAGAGGACACCCTGTATTTATCTCTGCCATTCACATGCACGCACACCACAGACAGAACAAGGGAGTAAAACTGAGTTAGAAAATAGCAGTCAGACTACAAGTGATGGTCAGTTGTGAGGAAAACAGAGAAGGCAAGAACTACTTCTTCCAGGGGTCCTGCCCTACCCTTGGAAAAATATAGGCAGCACTGTTTTTGAGATGGAGCCTCTAAAAAATGTTTCAAGTTAAAACTAGGAAAGAACAAATAGACCTGAGTCAGGTCACGTCTTTCCTAGGTTGATAATGACTGGTTCAATGTGTCACTTTCTCACAATTGCCCACACACAAATACCTCACCAAACAAGTCCATAGAAGCCGGAGAGATAGCTGGCCACAGGAAGGCCCACAAACACTATACCACCCACAGACCTGCCCAGCCAAAACACAAGCGGACAACAAGCCTCAACCAGAAAATGATTTCTGTCTCGATGGTTTTCTCCCAGGCAGTGGACTACAGGCCAGATGTGTGACGGTGCCAGACAGTCTTCTGGACACAAAGGCATAGCTAAAGATTATCTTAAGAAAGCCAAATACCAGGGCAGACATAGTGGTTCAGCCTTTAATCACAACAATCAGGCAGCAGAGGCAAGCAGACCTCTGTGAGTTTAAGACCAGTCGGGCCTACATAGCAAGTTCCAGGCCATCCAGAGCTACATAATGAGACTTTGTCTCAATACATAAATATTCAGGAAAAAGAGAGAAAGAAACCCAAGTACCTAGGAGATGGGAGGTTCCACTTAAGTGTGTGGCCAGTCAGGTCCTAAACACGACACTCATGGGCACAACCCCACTGAAGGGTGAAACGGCTGGTGTGCTGGGAGGCGGCAGCAGCTCTGACCTTTGGGTTTAGGACCTCCTGCAACACCACATTTGCTACCATATCAGAATATGTTTGGATATTGTGTTATTTCTTTTAAAATAAGTCATTGAAAATTTATCTTTCCTCTTTTCAAGGCAAAGTTTCTCTGTATAGCCCTGGCTGTCCTGGAACTCACTCTATAGACCAGCCTGGCCTCAAACTCTGAGGTTTGCTTGCCTCTTCCTCCTGAGAGTTGGAATTAAATGCATGCACCACCACCACCCAACTGAAAATTTATTTTTTATATTCTTATTAACATTTTAATGAAAAAGAACCACAATTTCCAAAATAACAAAGGCGTCATGAGAAGTGACAATGTCTTGCCCTTTTATAGACTTGCTAACCTCCAGGCTACAGCTGCATTCTACAGATTCTACTCGTAGCCTGGCAGAACTTTAGCCAGCCTAATGGGGAGATGCAGCTAGAAATGGGAGAGAAATTTAACAGCTTTTGCACACAGCTGTGGATATACTCCTTTGCGGTGACCCTAAAACCCAGCATTTGCTTTAGTTATTTTTTTTTGTTTGTTTGTCTGTTTGTTTGTTTTTCAAGACAGGGTTTCTCTGTGTAGCTTTGTGCCTTTCCTGGAACTCACTCTGTAGCCCAGGCTGGCCTCGAACTCACAGAGATCCGCCTGGCTCTGCCTCCCGAGTGCTGGGATTAAAGGAGTGTGCCACCACCGCCCAGCTTGCTTTAGTTCTCGAAGTCTAACTGCAACCTGCCACCCCTGGAAACTTTGCACCTGATATCCTCAAAACCCACTAATCTGTTCTGCTTGCCAAGTGGGCTTCAGAGGCAAGTGTAAGCTTCCATTTATCATTCAGAAAGTCCTACCTACTCCCTAAGGTATATGCAGCCTATAGATGCTATTTATGATATACAACGATACTAAAAGCATTGTGCCAGGCATGGTCAAGCAGGCTCATAATCCCAGC